TTTTTTAAGAATACTACTGCTTTAGTGAAAAGATTCAATATATGTTCCAGTATGTGGTGAGCCAACGCACACAGGGCTGCTCCAAACCACTGGCCAGACCCTAAATACTGCTTTAGTCAAATATTCAGATTTCAGAACTGAAGGCAGACACAGGAGTTGTAGAAAAACCAATTACCATTTAGCAAGGAAGATTCACAGAAACCACGGCAGAATGGTTTGCACAGCGTTTTGCTATGTTGTTGATACTTTGCTTTCCATCAACATTCACAAAAACGCTTTTGGGATACGAGTGCCAAGAACTTATTGTTTTTAGATAGTTAGGAAATTTTGCTTCCGTTTACTTCACAAGTACCACAACTTACACAGCAGGACGTTTTTGTGAATACAATTGTTCTGGGAAATTAATATGTCCAGCAGTGAGTAGTGGTACGAAACAACGAAACAGAAATTTAATGTACTATGAATCTATATATTAAAATAGGAGCAGGCTCTTTCCAGAAAGTGCTAGAATTAAAGGGAAAGTGATAAATTTAAGAGAAAAAAACAGAAGATAGTTTTTGAAGAAAAAAATTAGTAACAAGGAAGTATGAATGGAAAGAGTGATAAAAATAATGCACATCAGTTAAAGTTCTTTGTATTTCTCTATCTTCGCTAATCATTTTTAACTGTGTGTAATATACTAGACTTTATTTGGGTCTTGTAATTTTATTTTGAGGTTTATATCTGCATGAAGAAACAAGATCTCATTTGGTGAACTTAATTAGTAGCACAAACTCCTGGAAGCTAATAGAATGATGAAATGTCTTTGAGATAACATATGACATAAAAAAACTCAAACCTGTAATTTATGCAATATTACAGCATAAGAGCAATCTACCAGTACCGGCAGACAGGTAGCTGTTCTTAATAAGGTTAATAACAAGTTCCCAGAGAACACTTTGCCAAGAGAAACTTCCTAGGAAAATAATCAAAGAAAAAAAAAACACCCTTGTTTTCAAAGGAACAAGCTTTCTTAAACAGCTCGTTACAGTTCTGTTCATCTGGGTGCAATAACCATGCAACCAGGTGACTTTTGCAGAGCTATTTTTTCCAGTGCTAAATCATACAGATGTCACAAAGCGGAGGACCATACACAAACTGAACACTGGATGCCACAGTAAACAGATTTTTATTCAGTAGTGCTGAAATGTGAGCCAAGATCCAAGCTAGAGTTCACGTCTCCATCTTTGTCTTGACTACTTCCTACTATTATATGTGAGAATCTCTCACACAGCCTCTGAAGTAAGTGTCTGAGCTCCTGTGGGGATTGTTCAAGGAACTGAAGTAATGCTATAAACTCCCCTAAACCCTGTCAAACAAAAGATAAGGCAGAAACCTTTTCTTTTCTCACGGAGTGACATTATTCAGGGACAGGAAGCAAAAACCTGAATCTTTTTTAAGGGAAAATGATAGTCAACATACAGTGGTTAGCACTGTAGAGCAAAGCTTATCTACAGTGATGCTAGTAATTTTTTATTTCTGTAGAAGAGGTAATAAGCATAGCTGTACAAAACTGCAATTAGTAGAAACTTTAAAAATTAGTTATGTTCACATAGAACATCATATGAAATGAAAGAAACAAACAGCAATTCACTGAAAAAAATCACTGGTTTTGTAAAAATCACTTAATTATATTCATTGTGCTCTAATAATCCATCTTTGTAAGCTTTCTGCAGCTTCAGATGGTCTTTTAATTAATAGCTCAGCCAAAATACTTTTCCAGCCTTCTACAATTAAATACATGAAAGGATGCTGCTGGAAAGCTGACAGTCTTAAAACAAAGATGCTCAGTATCAATTTCTCACATGAGAAAATTTCTTCTGGCAACAAGGCTTTCAGCAAAGTCTGTTACTCCTACCTAGGCCTAATATGTTCTTTGGATGTTTTGTGAATTTGCTTTTTGGTGGGAGCATTAGTTTTCAGGATTAATGAATTCTGAACAGGAATGAGAAAACATTTCATCAAATTTAATACTGTAAGTCTGAATACAAAACCGTGGGTCCTACATTTTCTTTCATTAAAGCAATGTATCATTTCTGCTGTGATAACAGAAGCAGTCGGCACTTCCGGAGATCAAAGCAAATCACAAACAAGCCTGCCAAGCTGAATATATGTAATTCCATATGTAATGCTGCATACAATCCACATCCTGACTCAGACTAGCAACTAGACAAAGATCATCTTTGTGTATTTATATGGCCTGTGTGCTTTGTTTAGTGGTGTGTAGATCCTTGAGTTCTTACTTTAACACTACAACACTATAACCAATGAATTTTACTTACATGATTGGTGTTCTGATATACAAGACCTGCAAATAAACCATTCCCTCTTAAACCACATGAGGAAGTCACTGGTGAGAATTTCAGAGTAACTGCAGATTCATCTAATTTTAAATGCCAGGAAAAGTTGGAAGAATTTAATCTGTCAACACCAGACCAGTTATACATATTACTTCACAGCAGTGTTATGAGAAATCACTCAAATGTGAAATCTAGGCAAAATTTTTACACACGATCATAATCCCAGATGAACAAGTCAGCATTCTCTGTTATGGGCTTCAAGTTCGCTGTTACTTTCCTTCGATAAAGGATACTTCTTAATTTTTCCTTACAATAACAAAGGAGAAAAATAGGCCATCATCTGGAGAATTAGACTCAAGTAGGCATTTTGTAGAGCTACATAATATATGGCTGTTTGTGTCTCTGGAGGTTAAAAGATGAAACAAAAGGCACTTTGAGTACTTCACAATTACTCATAAGTTTTAGCTCCAACTCTAAAAAAAAAAAAAATGTATGTATTGTCTCTACTTGTGAACTAAATACTTATTCTATCAGCTACCAAGGAAAAATTAATTCTGTTACAATAATTAGGTTACACTTTTTAGGCAGAAACAGTATCTAGGAGTTCAAAAGCACATATCTCACGCTATGCAGGAAAGGTACTGAAGCTTTCAAAGCATTTCCACTTCTACTGGAGGAAATTACATTCACTGGGGTGAAACAACTGGCAAGAAGTAACTATTTACTATGTCAAGCCAACCAAAACTAAGATAATAAAGAAAAATTGGCAATAAATAATGTCTCTCATATATGGTCAATTTACTAGGAGGTATAACAGCTTCTGGGCTACAGTGTCAATATTTTAATTCTTTTTCAGACACACAGACATGGTATGTGTAACTGAACAGAAAAAGATTCACCCTGTGCTCAAATATACTCTCGATGTCTGTACTTTAAAATAATACACCATAACTAAGCATAACAGATTAGAACACTTGATCATTTAAATTCACATGCAATCCTTAAAACAGCCACTTACTCACCACTGTAACTAAAAATGGCAGCAAAAGTTAGCAGGTATGGAACCAGACACTTTGGAAAGCTAGGGGAAATTCTGATGGCTTGTTTTGTTTGGACCAATTTATTCACATAACAGTAGATTTAAACATCCATTGGTAATGTTCAAGAACTCAGAAGCAGTGAACTTCTTTTAATAGCCTAATTATTTATTAGGAAAAATATTTAGAAAAGTAGTTACTAAAGGGAATCAGAGGATACAAGTACGGAGGTAATAAAGTCACCCTACAAAACAAAAAAGATCTGCTGTATCATTAATAGCAGGAAAACTGCTTTTTTTCATAATGCTTTGAAGATATACATCTTGCAAGAGACACTTATCTCAAGGAACAAGAAAATACACACATATAATGACTTTTTGCTATGTCCCTCCTGCTACAACCACCTTACCTTTGGGATTTTACATATGAATAAGGAAAAAACCCAATGTAATTCAATATCATCTTCTTAAAACAGTCATAACAAAAATTGAGTCTTTCCTGAAAGGGAGCCAAGGAAAAGAAAACTGCACTACTGGTACTTTTTGCAGCTGTTTATATCAAATATGCCTTTCAAAGAGGACTGCAAAGGAATAAAACTAGATGGGTTTTAGAGGCAAAAGACAGGCACACAAGGAAACTTTAGAGAAAGGGTGGTGGGGATCAAAAATTAGATCCTAAAACGAGGCAAGGCAGTATTCATGCAGAAATATGTCAGCCTCAAAGGCTATATAATAACACAGAACCAATTAAAAATGAAATGTAACATGGTCTCTAATACACTGAAACTTTTTAATGCAGTTTATAAAAGGGAATGTTAACTTCAGCTATCAACAAGTTCTGAATCTTGCACAACTAAGTTACAATGTGATCAGTGCCAGAACAGAAAGGAGCCATGTCTAAATCAAGGACGGCCACCTGCTCAAGGACCCTCTTATCCCAGTTAGAACTGAAGATAAAATCAATACAGCCATATTTCTATGCGGCTAATCCTGTTAGACCCAACACCCACTCAATACCCCCACTTTCTGCCCCAACAGCAACCACAAGACTGTGCCACCACTTGAGGTGACCTCCTGAGCACCCAGTGCTTCTGACAGCCCATGAGCTTTCAGCACATCCTCTGTGGTCTTCCTTGCTTATAACAGATTATGACCAACGTTTTCGCTGCTCTTAAGGTCAACATGAAACAGTTCCCTAGATAGTCCTGCAATGAATGTTATCTGCAGACTGTGGTATTTTTGGGGAAAGGGAAAATGAGACAAAATACACAAGTACAGTTTTCTTCCTTTCGAAAAACTACCTTTTGTGGTGATGGCTTCTAATGCATGCATTCCAGTTTTTCTAAAGCTAGCACCACAACTGGAAAATTACATATAACCAAGAAGATTTTCTTCCTCTAAAAATATACCCTGCCTCTTGAATATTGCCCACTTCTGAAAAAAAAAAAAAGACTGAAAGATCTTAAGGTGACTACACAGAGTGTTCGGATTTCAGAGGGACTGCCTCAGTTTACTAGGTTAGAAGAGTTCAAATTACAAAAATAATTGCAATCTGAATCACACAGTCATAAAGTCAAGGTGCAAAAAGCAGCACTGAAATACTTTCCTCCGTTCGATATACTCACCAAACCTGCAATGGGAGTCGGTAGTCTATTGATCTTTTTTACCAATCCCGGCTTTATTGCATTCAACAACCTGTTATGAGAAAGGAGTATTTGTGAGTGGCAAGTCACAAAATTTCAAATTATCAAACACTTTTCCCAGCACATAAGGATTTCAGTATGGCTGGAAAAGTCTCCCCTTTCTCCCCTCCTGAAAACACTCCTGGGCACCCAAATTCCATCACTGAAATGAAGAAAGACTAGAATGGAAAACATCCACAGCACAGTATCTCAAGAGTATTTATTTTATATTCTAAATTGATCTAGATCACATCAGTGACCCAGACAGATAGAGTGAATTTTTTCATGTCAGCCTGCCTTCACTGCCTACAGGCAGATCACACCTGGAAGAGCCTGAGAGCAGAAACCGAGAAGGCATTCAGGTCTGGCAGGAAACTGAGAAAGGATGCACACTTTATGGGTGGCCTGTCTATTTTTCTGAATCTTTACTTGACATTAAATGCCATCCTTGCATATATTGTTTAGAATGGAGGTCCTCATAAATCATAGATGTGAGAAGACAAATAAAAAGGGAGTCCAAAAAACCCCCACCTCATCTTGAAAACACCATTACGCCAGTGATACCACAGCTGAACACTGTTCAGTGTTCAAAGATTAGCAACCCCCCAAAACCAAGTTCCTCACCACCCATGAACACACATGTGCTGACACAGTTGATTGCTAGAATACTCAAAAAACTGACCAAGCCTCTAAAAGTGGGGAATTTTAATTATAAAATCTTGTTGCAACAAACACTGTGTCTTCACCACCCTTTGCCTACGAGAAAACCCTTATGCCTTTTATCAAAAGAAAATATTCAACCAGTTCCATCCATTGGGAAGAAAATCATCAGGTCAAGACACTGACTTCAAATTCAAGATCTCTGAAGAGAAACGAAGATGTCTACTTAAATTTAAAACTCTAAAAATGAGAATAGCCACTATGGAAGAGAGGAACCTCATTTTGTGCTGACATGGTCTCTACACAAGAGCAGACTCTTTTGACAGCTCACTGTGGTAGTAAAGTCATTAATATTTAATATTTGAGAAATCTTGCTAAGAAGTTTATCCTAACTAAAAGAATATTCCTTTCAATTAAAAGCTAACAGTCTGTGATTGTTTCCAACTCCCTGCTTCTGAGCCGGGATAACACAGGGTGTGCCACTCCTCAAAGCTCCACCAAGAGCCATCTCTCGATAGTGACATGTTATTTGCTGTTTGATTCCATAGGGCAGGGGCAGTTTGCAAGCTCATGAGGGAGTTCATCCCTCCCAGGGTGGACATCTGGCTTTGTGAACATAGAAATTATTGTTTTTCTTCATATCTTGCTTTTTCTGTCTCCCTGAAACAATATATAGGTGGGGTGTCTGCGATCACTTGGGCAGAACAGGGAAGCAGAGCAGGAGACGCTATTCTCAATATTCTCTATGATTGTAGTTAGTAAACCTGTCCTAAATTGTACTCGTGTTATTACACACTTGAAGTCCCCACATCTCCAACACCATCATATATCAGGAGTGGCAACAAAGCCAATGTAAATGACATTTTTGGGAGTTAGGGGGAATTTTTTTATCTTCTTGAAGTTAAAAACCCTGTAACCCAAGCTCATACAGATTCCTGTACTATTCCTGCCTTCTGCTTACGGTAGAATCTAACACTAATGTCATAAAAACAAATGAATGAATATACTTTTATATACAAACGATTCACTTTTCCCCCCTAGATGCAGAGAATGGCAAGAAGAGAACTGCACTTCTCCTATAACCATTATTTTATTTCACAGATGGAAAAAAAAATTACTTGTTTTTTCCACAAAAGACACTATGTTATTTTTTGGCCTCACTCAGCAGTAATCTTATAAAACTATTATTTTCCATTTAGCTGCTACACACGCAATTCAATTTTTTTTTTCAGAGGACTTCTTTCCAAATACTGTAGGTCTCTTGTGATTTCAATCCTCAGTCTGCCTATTCTGTCTCAGGAAAAAAAGAATATATTAGCTAAAGCTAATGCATTTCTTTATTACTGAAACACAAATATATCAGGCACCACAACAAATATTGCAGGTGCAGATCAAAAGTGACAGACAATAATAGAAAGTAAAATAAAGAGGTCTTAATGGAAACCTCAAATGCCAAACCCCATTCTGAATAAATCTTCAAAATGGCTTGTACGGACTTCTCTGAAATACAGGATAAGGATAAATTGAGAGGAAGAAAAGGAGCAGGGAACAACCAACATTTTTGATCACTGTTTGGAGTCTGAAGAGGAAGGAAATGGGATGGGGCAAGATGGAAAACCCCAAGGAAGAAATTAAAATTATTATTAAAATGTTTATCTCCTGTTGGAAACAAAGTCTGGCACCAAACCCCTCAGAACCTGCTCGCTGCAGAACATGTCAAATGGAGGTTTCTTCCAGAGCAGACACACTACTTCTGAATTATTGCCTCATCTAGAGTGACAATTCAGATGCCAAGATATTGAGTGGTTTAAGCTTGCTCTGCTACCAACCCGGCTGAAATGTAGCACTGTTTATGCAGAGTGCCTCAATGGTCACCTTTACTCACAGTTACTGTCCATCCCTGCTTCTCAAAAATCCCCTAACTACACCTCTTCCTACGTAGCTCTGTATACACAAACTAAATTTTCTGTGCCGATTTAGACTCACATAGAGTATGTACCTTGATATGTAAAGTTTTACCAGCTCTGGTAGGTTTGTGTTGAAATATGGGGCAAAGAAGACCCTTCCCCATTTTGCACTGGGGACCTGGCACAAGGCCCGTGACCGTGGACCAACAAAAAGACCTCGCAAGTGAGAAAAAAACACTAACCCACACCTTCCCCTGGCAGCCTCTGACAACTGCAGTCCCATGCTTTCTTGCCCTACCAGTCCTAACCAAAGGACTTGGCTGCTCTAGGCCTCCCATTCCTAACCATGTCCTAGTTTAAAGAGTTTTCATGAGAGAAAACCTGCAACACACACCTTCCTCTGGCACCCCAACTGCACCTGCGGCTCCAGCCTGTGTCCCTCCCCCAGTCCTAATCTTTGGCTCATTCTAAGGTGAAGACACTCAGACATGATAACAGCAACCAAGTTCAGGGAGGAAAAAACATTTGCAGTGTAAACCTTCCCCCGACCCCACAACACTGGCCCCACTTCAGCTATAGCTGTAGGCAACCAGTACATGGCGGTGCTGTCCAGCCCTCTGCACTGCAGGCAGCAGCGGAGTCAGACATTAGGTGATCATCAACATCACCGTAACCAGAACCACCTATTTTTCTGCATTTAGCTGCACAGCAAGTCTAGATACCTGCACTGTACGCATCTATGGACAGCGAAGAATTCCACCATCTGTTGTCCAATCTCATGGTTAGCTCTGAAAATATTTTATGGCATCACATTACTCCCTCTACCACAAAAAACAAACAAGAAACCTCACCAACTTTAAATACTTCTGGAATCACAAATTTGTTAACTTAAAAAAGCATGAGAAATCTTTCTGAATGGATTGTTCTAGGGCATTAAATCAAATCTTTAAAAATATATTTGTATTTCAGCAATCCCTGAGAAAGGTATGGAAAAAAGCAATGGCAAGACAAGTGTCATAGGAGCAATGTAGAACCCATCAGCTTCTACATCAGCTGAAACACACACACATTGTTTGGTGCCTTATTTTCCTGACATTTACTTACATTATAAAACTTAATCATATCACTTTGATAATGAGTCACAGAGGACAGGCAATCAATGTAAGCCTTGCTACAACATACATTTAAGGCCCTATTCACAGATCATGTTAGACAAGTTACTTTTATCACCCATTCTTGCAGCAGGAAGGCACTTTCTCAAAAAACACACCTAGCTGATGGTACAGTAAGATCCTCTGCCTCAGACATCTGATCTGTCTGGCCAGTTTAGCAATACTGCTCAGTCTAAGGAAGATACTACAGTCCCTATGGGCAGTTTCAGACAGAGTTGAAGCCTAAAGGTCCTGAGTTGAGGTACTTTGAAAGATGACTTGCTTCTCTGAGTACCTTCCAGCTCCTGCTGACCCTGTCTGATACTCTTTCTTCCAAGGAAGCAGTCCTTTTTCTTGTGCAGTAAAAATCATCCAAGCTCAAGTATATTCTTCCTCACAAAGGCATCTAGGGCAGACACATTGCTCACTCCTAATCTAAATCCAAGACACCAGTCTTGCCCCAAACAACCACTAGCTGCAAGTCCAGATTTTCCCAAGCACAAATTTAGTTCAGGTTTTTGTACAGCTGTATTCTTCAAACATAGAAAATCCTCAAGTGGATGTGCATCTTCTAAAGAACAATACAAACCCTTTGTATTACTGTGTACCACATTCTGCTATGCCAAGGCTGGTGAACTATTATACAAATAGTCAGAGTGGAACTGTTGAAGTTGGATAAAAATGTTCGTTTTGTTGGGGTTTTTTGTTTGGAAGTTTTGGGGGGAGTGGGGTGGTTTTGTTTTGTTTTTAAGGTATTAGTACTATTTTCATACTCCTGCATCTAGAAAAAGAGATGTGAATGGGACAAGTTCAACTAAGCAGTCCTAAGAGATAACAAAATAGGATGATTTTAAATATTCCATTATTTTCTCCTTTTTCCTTCCCCTTCAGTAAGATATCGCTAATGTAAGGTCTGATACCACATGGTGAGGGAATACTGGCTGAAAAAAACCATAAAACAATGTCCTTCCATACTGTTTTCAAAAGGAGAATGTAGATACATTCTGCAAGCTTGCCCGTTTTAGTAGCTGGGCTTTGGAGTTTAGTAGCTGGGGACCAGAAGACATTTTGGAGATAAAAGGCAAAACAAAACTAAAACTTTTTAAAACTCTAGCTTTCAGCCAACTTTTTTCTCACAGAAATCATTCTGGAGCATTAACAGCTACTTATGCAAGAAGTTAAATGGCACAAGAAGTAAAAATGAAAGAACAGAAAGATAAAGACTGCAATCCTTCTTCCATTGAGGCTTTCTGCTACCTGATATGACCAGTGTTTCTCTGATATGACCAGAGGGA